ATATATATATATATATATATATATATATATATATATATATATATATATATATATAAATAATAAAATCAAAAACACCATTTAAACATTATCAGACATTAACTTTTGAAAGCCAAAATGCAACTCGCCAGTGTTTGTGACTGATGGCAGCCAACAATCCACACCCGACTTTCATGTTCTTATTCAATCCAAACCTCATTCTTGTCAGAATTAAATAATCCCCCCCCCCCCCCCCAACACACACACACACACACAGCAGTTACCTGTGCACGTCTGAGAGGGTCTTGATTTGTAATTTCCCATCGATAAGGTTTCTCTTCTCCTGTAATATCGGCTCTGTAGTTTGGTAAGGCAGTAACACAATCTATCACTCTGCCACAATTGCACAGGTCCAGATAAAGGGGGGGTGGGGGGGGGGTGGCAGTGGGCTAAAAATAAACACTGTTGAATGCTAAACAACTACGACAACTGATCTCCCTCTAAATGACAGCAGCCAGTCTTAATTGGGATTTTGTGCAATATCAATTTATAAAGACAGCAGAACGTCATACTTTTGAACATTTTGGAGAAAAATTGAGTGTAGTGATGAACTTTATCTCACAGTTAAGCTGATAATTAATTTCGATTATGAACTTTGATTGTCTCCTTTTCCCCTCGTGATGTCTTCATACAATCCCCTCCTGAACGTCAGCATCTCCTCCAGGTTCTTACACTCCAAGGACTCTCGCATGGACACCAGCGGCGTGTCTTTCGGTACGGTGAACGCGGAGCCGCTCAGGGCGGCCTGCAGCATCTCCAGAGACAGAGAGAATGAGCTTTGTTGATCAGAGCAAACGGGAAACAAACAAGCGTTCCACAAACTACAGCCGGGCGCACCACCGGAGAACCTCAGCTCTCCTTCCTTCAGCCCCCAGCGGGACAGACCCTCCGGCAGGCTGACGCCAAACAGCTTCAGCTCCGCCATGCGCGAAGGCGCTTCCACGCCGCGCTTCAAGTCATCCTCGATCCCGAAGGCCACGGTGACGAACCCGGCGCGGTGGCCGCGAGTCACGCTCAGAGAATGCATGAAGACTCCGCCGGGCACCGACAGGCCCGCCCCGACCCAGCAGCCGCTGACGACGGAGCCCCCGCCCACGGACGCTCCCGCTCCCAGTCGGGAGTACTCCACCACGGCCCCGGCCCCCACGGAGCAAGCGGGGTCCAGGACGCTGCACATGACGCAGCGACCCGGGTTCTCGTCCGCGTTCAGGCTGAAGGCGGACGACAGGAGACCCAGCTCGGTCCTCAGAGCCCCATCCCGGGCGAGGTGGAAGAGGTACTCCGATGTGGTCCCAATGTGGTAGAACTTGGAGTTGTTCAAGAGAATGACACTCAAGGGAGTCCCTTTCAGAAGATGGAAGATCTTTCGGCGGATCTCCACCAGGCTGTCCTCCTCCTTGGTGACGTTGGCGGTGTTGCTGGTGTAATCTACCGTGGCCCTCGGGCCCAGCGCTTGGAGGAAGTCCCCGTATGCGTCCACCTCGCAGTGCAAAGGCCCCAGCTCCTCCAGCAGGCCGAGGAGCGATTTGCCGGTGTCAAAGTCGACATAATAGGTGCTGTCTGTGTAGACAAACTCTGTGTCAGAGAGAGAAAAGCAACCGCCGCGGCTCTTCCGAACAGCTCCACTGTCGCGCATCTCGTCAATGCTCGGCTTGTGCAGGAAGCGCAGGCAGGAGACGTTCTCCACTTCAGAGTGGCCCGACTTTTTGTCCGGATCCAACACAAAGACTCCGTGGGTCGTGCCGACAGACAACGAGGACGGGTGGGCCAAAGCCGTGAAGCCCGGTTGGTCGAACCGGACGCTCTCATCACCTCCGGTACTGTACAGCTCTATGTCGTCTGCACAGGTCACCAGCACGCCCGGCTTCATCCGGCAGGGGAAGTCAACATACAAGGCCAGTTTGAGCTCCAGCATCTGGTAGAGAGGGTCTCCCAGCGGCACGGCGGTGAAGATCTTGCCCAAGGCGCTGGCACTGGGCAGACGCTGACTGAATCCTCCTGGGAGGACGAGAAGTGAGGAGACGTCACACCAAACTAGTCAACTTTGGAAAAGCAAACATAAAACTCTTAGTTCACACACTTTATTATAAAGCCCTGATTATTTGGAAGCTGCTGTGATAAAATATTATATAATAACAACACATATTCTGGGTTTGGGGCGGCGCGGTGGCGTGGTGGTTAGCACTGTCGCCTCACAGCAAGAAGGTCCTGGGTTCGATTCCGCCCAGTGGCCTTTCTGTGTGGAGTCTGCATGTTCTCCCCGTGTCTGCGTGGGTTCTCTCCGGGTTCTCCGGCTTCCTCCCACAGTCCAAAGACATGCTCTGGGGATCAGGTTAATTGGAGACTTTAAATTGCCCGTAGTTGTGTGAATGTGAGTGTGAATGGTTGTATGTCTCTGTGTAGCCCTGCGATTGGCTGGCGACCAATCCAGGGTGTACCCTGTCTATCGCCCGAAGTTGGCTGGGATGGACTCCAGCCCCCCCGCGACCCTATGTGCAGGATAAGCGGTTTGACAATGGATGGATGGATGGATGGATTCTGGGTTTGAGCGATCGTGTTAAATGAATTTATTTCAGTGTTAATTACACGATAACGATCATCTGCTTTTGGCCTTATGTCTTCCTCTGTTATGTTGCAATATTTAAATAATTATTGCTTATAATTTAAATATATTTGCATACATAAATGAGCTCACATGGGTGCAACAGTTATTGTGACTGTGGCGGTGTGTGATTTGGACTAATCCAGATGGAGGAAGCGGTGATGAGGTTTACAACATGTTAGAACAGTTTGGACATGTGAACATGTGATGTCACAAACGCTGCTTATTCTATACTGACAACAATTCATGGCCATTAATGGATTCACATTTTTCTCATTTCATGCAGCAGTATAAGCACGTGACTGTCTGCCTTTCTCCTGCAAACCTCTTATTTGTATTGAAGGGAGATGGACGCATCTGCAGAACTGAAATCATTAGTCAAAAAATGAAATGAATGAATTGGCCGCATGTTTTTGATGATGACTGTGAGCAATCGGGTTCTAGAAAAAATTGTAATGGCCATTTAAAAAATATATACATATATTTTCTACTTTCTAAACAAGTATGCTTTGAGCAAAAAGCAGTGGAACATGGTGTATTTGTAGGATTAGGGTCTCAAACCTGCATGGATGAGGATGACTCTCAGCCTCTCCAGAGACTTCCCATAGATGTCATTCAGCTGCTGCAGCGCATACAGAGTAGAGCCCCCATTCCCTTGAAAACAGGTCATATTAGTAGTAATAACAATAACGATAATAACGCAACGCTTTGTTGTAAAAAAGAAAAAAAAATCAATGTAGACTGCCTCACCTATTTTAGGTCCAGGTGGATCAGAGAAGACCTTGTAGTGAGGCCCGAGGGGAAGCTCCTTCCGGGCCACTTTCTGTCTCACCTGCAGCTCGTAAGCGGCTCTCTGGCTCTCGTCCGCGGCGGTCACAGCCACCACGTCCCAGAACTCTCCGGGCTGCACCTCTCGAGCTGTCAGGCGAAGACAGTTATCACATAGCTTCTTCAAATAAGACTAAAGAATACGAACGGAGAATAAACACAAAGACATTGGGTTTTCGAAGGAGAAGCGAGCTTTTGCAGTGAAACGAGTCAGTCGGACATAAGACTCACCACGGAGGGAGTTAAACTTTCCTATCTTTATTTTTGTCGCCTTTTGTAACTTTGTGACACTTTCCTGGCTCATACTATCGGTTCCGAGTCCGATTTGTCTAGTGTCTCGTTCCATAAGTGCTTTTAGTTTCAGCAGATAGCGAAAGACCCTTTTCCGTCCCTGACTTCCGGGTCACGTGGCTAGTTGTGTTTGACGTAAGCGTGGATCAGGAAAACAGGAACTTTTATTGCCAAACTATGTAAGACATACGAGACATACACGGAATTTGACATGGTCATAACAATGAGACAATGGACAACAAGAAAATAACACAGTGCAGGAAAAACGACATTTACGACATTTACATTTACAAATTTTAATTTAAATCTACAGTATAAAATAGACAAATATAAACTACAGGAATGCAGAATAAAAAATAAAATATTAAGTAAAGTACAGTGCACTCTGCATAAGAGGGAAGATGCTGAGACGCACGCTGGGCTGTGCTCATGGTTTATAGATTATATCAAATGAATTGACTGTTTTTGCATTTCATACAAACCATATCATAAAGAGTTGGAAATTGGACGACATAATTGCTATATTTCATCTTATAAAGAGAAGCCACAAACATCCGATGAATAGATAAATAGGGGATTGGGGAATAAATATTATTAGTAACCTTAAAGTGGACTTTTGTGAACCTGTAATATTATTTTAAGGTTTTACTTCCGCATTGCTTGCAGCCAACCAATGTTGACTCAAAAAAGGCCTACATGCTGAGGTACACAAAACAGGAAATTAGCTAAATCAATCATTTCCTTATCAGGGCAATAAGGTGTTGTATACTAATCTCTTACATAATGGAAAATGTATCATTGGAGAGGGCACATTACTCTTGAATGTAGCCGGTGAAATTCATTAACTTATGACATGAGCTGTTTTGTTTAGAAATATTCATCACTTTTAACAAGGTGCCAACTGTCTCTGTTGGCTTGTTGTCATGGCAACAAATGCCACATGCACAAGGAACTAACTAGAATTTTGCTTTATTTTCCGTTTCGCTGTCCCAGAAGCAGTGGGAGGACGGCAGGAAGATAATGGAACAAAAACAAATTCTGGAAAAGAGCACAGCAGTCGACTCCTTTAGGCCGCGGTCAGAGCCTTTCTGTTTCACCTCGATTCCATCCCACAGGTCGCTGTCACCTAGTTCGACAAGAGTTACGGTGGGATGCAGCTGCCAGCTGTGTTTTTCTCCGTAGCAAAATGTTTAGGGTATGGTAGGAATGTAGGGAGACTGAAGTGAAGCTCAAATGACCATAATCCACTGGTTAATAGTCTTTATTGTGTCAATTCAAATCAAGACCGCTTGACATGTGAGATACTTGGCCATTTAACGTCAGTACATCGAAATCAGTGCAAGAGTTCTCTAAAACTATACATCATCGTCTCAACACAGCATCTTTACACACTAAATGTACATCTTGGTTTACTGTCATTCGAAGTCTCGATACAATAATTTAAAAACATTATGTAGGCAGGTAGAAAATAAACTATAACAAAAGAGGTTGATTGAAACAACTTATACCAGAGTACCATTGTAGGACTGTTCTAAGATAACCGATTTAGAGATTGTGGTAAATACATAGCTGGATAGCTGGATTAATTAATACGGCACATGGACGGCTTTGGAATAAATTAGATCTATTAAAAGTTATAAGGCTAAAATTCCTATGGTAACTATTGTGCACTTTTGCTTCATACCTTTTAATCTTGCTGAAAACAAGTAGCAAGTTCAAAAATGTAAACACTATTTCTTTTGCATAACAAGACAATTTCTCTCATTTTGCACATGTCATACAGTGAGAACTGAGGTCTAAAAACTACATATGCAAAAAAATGAGTTCTCTAATCTCTGGGTGGGACGCCTACATTCAACCACAGGCCCCTTCAGAGCCCCCACACGACGGTGGTGCATCGGGACGAAGGCGGCGGCGCGGTGTCACAGCGCCGAGGGCGGCAGGGCAGCCAGGCTGTCCTTGTTGGCCTCCAGGAAGTCCCTGCAGGCGGAGAAGATGCTCGAAAAGCTGGAGGACAGACCGGCGATGTCCGTGGAGATGTAGGGGAGGATGCCCGGCGTGGCCTGGTTGTAGTAGGTGATCTGCAAACGAGACGCGTGTGAATCGGCATCTGTGACGACGCAGCAAATGTGCTCGTAGCAAGCGCCCCCCCCCTCCTCTCCCGTGTGCCCTTCTCATTTGGCCAACCTTGGTGACAGCGCTGGACTCTTCCCAGATGGAGAAGCCCGCACAGAGCACCTCTCCCCTGGTGTAGTCCTCCGTGGGGAGGTGAGTGGGCAAGGTGACGGAGCGCAGAGCGATCAGATACGGGTCCCTGAGAGGGATGGACGAGGATCAGCGACATGAGACTTTAGTGAGAGAGCAGGTGGGAAGCAGCATTTGCAATAATACAAGTTGGGAATCGGAACTAAAGTAACAAAATATTAAAAAAATACAGCAGAGAAGCTGCAAACCAAACGTGGAGTTACAGCACCTGGTGTCACATGGCTTCCTCCTTGATGCCAGGAGGATAAAGTCCTGGCCTTTGCCCCCTTTACTGACGGATGGTGTCGTCACACGGTACAGGGTGTCTTCCTCATCTGCTTGGATGATAACCTCGCACTCCCTGCAAGGGCCACGAAGTAATGAGACTGTGATGAAATGCAAATATTAAAAGACAGAATTCTGCCTTCTCATGCTGCTGTAACCATCACGTCTTGGATAAACGATTTTCCGTATCTACTGCGCATAACTACTGCAGCTTCACAATCTGAGCTTTTAAATATGGGCCTACATATACATAGTTGGATTCATGGTTTGGCGACTGTAATGATAACATTCAACTCAAAAAAGGGTAATGCTCTCGATTTAACAAAGCCAACAAAAAAGGAACCAACCCAGTGATTTCTGTCCACTCGTTTCTGTGCTGTAGACCTCAATTATTCTCCTAAAATGATTAAAAATCAACCAATGCTGCATTGGGTGACATGTACATCCGTTACCATGAAAACAAGCACTGTGGTTTATTTTGAGCCTTTCACAAACCCCGTCCTGCTGACGTGGATACTCACTAAAGCACCAAACTAATCCCCTGAGAAACCCTAACAATTTCCACATGTTTGAGTAATATTTTCGAGTTATGACGTATCCAAGTAATTGCTTTTTGTCGACAATAATGAAAACAGAATAAGATCGGCATCGTTCTCTGAGCTGGACGTCGGCGGCCGTACTGACTCATAGATCCGGTCCCACTCCTTCCTTCTCCTCAGGTCGGACAGAAGGTGGAACGTCTGCTCTGCCGGTACGCTGACGTGCATCTCCACCTTGAAACACAGCACGTGGTTTTCCTCCAGGGTGTACAGTCTGACCTAAGAGTGGAGGGGAGGGGGGGGGGGCTCAACGTCTATAAATAGGACTGGTTTCAGATATGTGCACACATTGCCTTCGACTGCGGTCTAAACCGCCACATTAACTGGTGAGTTAATGGTGTGTGTGAGAGATTATATATTATTCCACATATTTTCAGGACGACTTATATTTACAGCTCGTTCTCTAAATCTTCGATAGTGACCTTTGGAGAGGGGTTGGAGCCGAAGTAAGTTTACGGTCGATATTTGATCTATTCTGCATTATTCTAGAACTTACTTAAGAGCAACATGGGCCTTCTCCCAGGATCGACAACGCTGCTTGTCCAAAATAACACAGATCAGAATGCACGGCGGAATCACAACAGCTGTGTCTATTTAACAAGTTATATCCGGTACAACAACACAAACCGTACCGACCTTGTTTTTCTCAGACGTTAAGACCCAGTTGTTTCTGGTATCCATTAGTTTCAGCGCTGTTACGTTATTGAAGCTCAGGTACATCTAACAAAACAAAGACAACGGACCGTCTGAATTCTCAAACACAGTGGCAATAAGACTCAGGCCGTGTGGGACTCTGTTTGCCAGAAATTGCAATACCTGGTTACTTGGATCCCAGGGTACAGAGAGGGGCACTTCAGTTTGCTTGCAGGAGATAATGTATTTCCTGTAAACATGTAGGGCACAGTGACAATTTACTTTGAGGGACAAAAGAAAGATCAGACGACCGGATCTGAATACAAAAGCCTTTCGTTCTCGCAGTGAGCCGACCTCGGGCTCTCGAATAGTGGAATAAAACGGGAGGCCGGGTATTCTACAGTTGAACAATCCACTTATTATGCTCGACAGACTCAGCACCAAAGTCTGCTCAGCTGTGACCCGCTGCTCTGCCAAGTCATGTGCTGCTGCAGTCCACTGTGAATAACGTAGCTCAACACTGCACAAACACAGCCGTGATTACACTTTTTGTTTTCACGAATCATGTTGAATCGAACCTTGCAAAGGAGATAGGGATAGAAAATGCATATTAAGCAGATTTTTTTTCCGACACTGATGACTCAGTAATCTGTCCAAAGAACACATCCTGGTGGTTGAGGGGGAAATACCAACCTATCAAGGCGAATCTTCTTTCTGGCAACAGCTTCTTGATAACGTCTTTTCCCATCCTGTAAAAACGTGGGAAGCCCTAATAATTAAATCCTTCCACAGAGACATGTACTGATAACTTAGTGCTGAAAATTAGCCGGTCACACTGTACATTATGAGCTGTCACGCAGCAACAGGACCAGAAGAAAACTCACCACAGGCTCAGGTCGTATCCGTGGTATCGTGCGCGGCTTCCGGTCCTCGTCCAGCACCTCGAAGGTCATGAAAGCGCTATTTATATGACGCAGAGGTTCTCCACCCTGGTAGGCCTCCGCGCACACCCCCACCTCCATGCTGGGACGCGCCGCGCGGGTTCAGAAAGAGACGTGTGCGGTAAAAACAGTCTTTGTCAAGACGGGACGAGGGTTGTGTGCTTGTGCGCTCTTTGTTCGAGTCGTTCGCGTGAAGACTCACCTGTGCTTGAAGCTGTTGTTGACAATGGCCTTCAGTACCAGTCGGTCACCGATGTGAGACGGGCCCCGAAAATGGAACATGTCGATGCTCCTCAAGGTTGGGTGAGCTTTACACAAGCGGCTACATCAGAATAAGAAGAAAAGAGGTTTGTTACCGGTGTTGCTGTTTAGAACCTCGTTCTCTTAACAAATAGCCTCGTCTAAGTAGGATTTGTAAAGAATCTGCCGATTTGCTTTCTCACAATGAGTTTGATGAGAAGATCTATTTAATTGTCATATCTCTGCGTTAAATATGAAGCCACCGCCCGGTAAATTATCACAGCGTAGTACTGGAAACAAGTATCCAGGCTCCGTCCAAAGGCACCAATACCCACCTACCTGCGTCTCTAAAACTACCACCTATACCATGTCATATGCACACAAACACAAAAAGGACCATTTGTGGTGTCGCGGGGGTTATTTGTGTGAGACTATTTCTTGGCCGGGTGCCCGGATTTCCTGGTCTCACAGAGAAGCCAAGAAGTTTCCCGTACAGAACACTCTGTAAATACAACAACTTGTCTCAGTCAAACAAAAGAGATCACTACAGATTTTAAAGCACTTACTTTCTTTCACTTCGTATACTGTTCAATCCAAGTACATCCGTGTCTATGTCCTCGTTCCGGACTGTTATTTGTACATTGAGGAAGATGCACAAGTTTGAATGAAGAAGCTAAGCTAACCGACTGCTGGCTTCAGTTTCAAATTCAACAGGCGGACACGGCCGCGACTTTGACCTTCTCATCCAACTCAGGAATAAAGTTACTCACTGTCCATCATAGCTGGTTCAAGTCTCTACGTTTTAAACACACTACGGACACACCTTGCTGCAATTGTAGCCACATTCTCCATCCAGGCCATGATTTGGCCCCCGAAGGTGCTGACTTGATGGTTGGCGTGTGGCGGGAGCACCAGCTCCACGCTCTCCACCCGCGTCCGCTCAGCCGGCACGGCGCCCTGGAACTCCTGGAATTCTCCTGGTGAGAGCGCGACAACGAGGAGGCAAGATCAGCCCGATTTTTAAAACGCTGATGATTCAAACTGGGGGGCCGTGTGTCTACAGGCTGTACCCAGCTGAGCTGTGCTGCTGCTCAGCAGGTCGTTCATGATTTCGGCATGGATGAGCCTCATCCTCCTCCGCTCCGCCGCCAGGCTGTACTCCATCTGCTCCGCTTGCGTGCGAGGAAGCACCTGCTTCAGCTGCACCTGTGCGCGCAGGACGCAGAAGAAAGGAATGTCGGACGCGCCTCGGCGAAAATGCTCATTTCAGGTCCTCGCGCCTCACCTTCCCCGCTTCGGTTCGTCGGGCGACGAAGGTGGCAAAAGCGTGGCAGACCTTCCACTGCCTGTCGGTGTAAAGATCCTCACAGTCCACCAATATGCCCACCTGAAACAAACAAAAGCCATCGCGTGCATTTGTCCTTTTTCGGAAATGACAACTTGTGCGACTGCAAAATAAAATGTCCCCTCACCTCCATACTGGACGTGAAGGCCCGGTTGACCTTTGCTATGATGTTGACCACCTTTCCCACCCTGGAGCACACAGACAGAGGCGCTTCTCTTTACTACCAACACTTAACCGTGATTGTACTATCAACACAATGTGGACCGTGGTACTGTAAAACATGGGGTTTGTGCATTACCCGATGGTGTGTTCAAAGTGAATGTCGTCCACGGACGCGGTGACACAGGAACAACCTGCGTGTCTCTCCGCTGCGGGGACAGAGATTACAGTTAGAACAGGAAACCCAGCACGCAAAGTCACGAAGCAACTGCAAGCCAGGCAAGGTGGAATGAGCTGGTGAGCTGTAAATATGTGCATCTATTAAAATGCATGTAGTAATAATCAATCACACAGACAGATTTATAACAAGGTTTCAGTTTAAATGCATTGAATGCGTCAATAAAACACCAGAACATACTGATGCCAAAGTTGTATCTATTGCTTCTGTGCAGATATCGTTAAACGTTTGGCAGTGGCCCAAAATTAAAACATATTTGTACCATTTACGATGTGGTAGCAATCTCATTAATACGTTTGGATTGATTTGGTAATATTGTAAAAAAATAAGCTGTTTTAAAGGGTAACATCTCTGAGACGTCGGTCCTTAATGTGATGAAGTGTTTTTGATTTGACAGTTGTTTTATCTTTAAACTGAAAATGATGCAGTGTGTGTGATGTCACACGAGTGACGATGGCTTCCACATCGCTGACTCTGATTATGGAACTTAATAGTCAAACATTCTTCGCTGTGGAAACAGCAATTGAACTAAAAGAAAATCTTCACGTTTGACATACTGTAACTGCAAGCACTTGATCACTTCGGGGAACGTGGATTAGACCATTATGGTTCAGTGCAAATCCGTTTTTAGAACACCTCCCAAATGAGGTCAAGACAAAAGCGAGACCAGCGCAAATTGGTCAACAGTGAAACGCTGGAAAAAAAGGGAAGCAGCTATAATGACTCGACAAAATAACATGAAATGCTTTTGGGTGCTATTCAAGAATGACCCTGCGTCCACCTGAAAGCCTGGTACACAGATGTGCCACCACCCGGGGATAATCTTGGATAACATTGGGCTTCATGATCTCCGTAGACTGATTTAGGGAAGACAACAAACCAGATCTCAAGGAAATAGTTGGGTTAACCCTAACCAGCGAAGAAACCACCGGCCGATCCAAACATCGGGGCGGATACACAATGGATTCTTTCACCGGTGTGAAAAGCGGCCCAATTTCCACGAGACAAACTCCGTGGAATGGAAGTTGCACTTGGGACACCTGCCCGTTTTCTGACAAATCCTCTTTCCTACCGGACAAGCAGGCGGTGGAGTCCATCCACTTCAGCAGCTGCCCAACACTCAGCTCGCCACAGTGGTTGGCGTGGCAGGGCAGCACGATCTGACTCATCTTCAGCTCGGTGGGGTTTCTGTACCCGTCGTCGCCCTCCTCAATGAACAGAAGGTCCAGCGCGGCGTCCGCACATTTCCCCTTTGACGTCATAATAAACGCACAACTGCAAAGAGAGAGAGAGAGAGAGAGAGAACACAGGGAAGTGTGTCACAGTAAAAGCACCTGAGAAAATGTGGAGACTGCGGTCAGCGTGGGTCAGAGCTGCCACCGTAAGGAGCTTTCAATAATCATATTGTCGTCTGAGGAATGGCCCAACGTTTGTCCCCTGACACAGAGATCAGGCACAACCCGAAAAGGCCTGTGTGTGTGACCACAACCTTGTAGCAGTTGGGCCTCTCAAGGAATGAATGCCATTCTCCATGTAGTCCTTCTGAATATGCAGGCTGGGAGTTGTTTGTTTGTTTTCTCCTTTTTTTTTTTTAATTCAGAGCCCGGTTTAATTTGAGCGCAGTCTGTCAGTATACACACACACAAACTATTTTAAATGCATGATGCTAAATGAGGCATTCATGGAAACTATTTGCCGAGGACTGAAGTGTTTGCCCACAACCGCGGTTGCTCCACCGGGCCGCGTGCCGTGGTCACCTGTCCTTCCCGCTGAGGCGGACAGGGGCTCGGGTGACCTTGCGTGGAATTAATACATAATAACACAACATTCACCGTGGACGTCTGTGACGAGACGACAAGAACATCTGAGGCAAATAATTCTTTGTGGGGGAGGAAAAAAAACATGTCGTGACAGTAATAAAAGCGACGCGTTTGACTTGGGGAAACTAAATAAAACGGCTTACCTAGTTTTATGTTTTGTGTTTTTTTTGCTGATGGTGAGATCGAGATGAAGACCTCCGCGCGTCAATGGGCGGGCGGCTTCTACGCGTCCGCTTCAATTTCAGCCATTCCTCCACAACGTGTAAACACACACATGCGCGCACACGCCACAGCTTTAATGAACGCTTTCACCGCTGGAGGGAGAGAGAGAGAGAGAGAGAGAGAGAGAGAGGCGCACACACAGGGGGAGATAGAGGGGGAGAGAGAGCCCCCCCCTGCAGCGGGAGCTGTTACGTGCACATTCTTAAGGTGGAGCTGTTAGTTGGCTCATATTTAGGGGTCGCTCAGCAACAACTTGAGTGGACCATTTAATAATATTAAATAAGAATAATATGTATAATTATTATTATTCTGACAGAGCGATACGACGAACTTTTATGGATGCTACAAAATCTGTAAAATGTGTTTTTTTTAATTGTTTTGTTTAAAATGTTTTTTTTCATTTTGTTGCTGGTTTTCAAAGGCTCGTATTTCATTCTCAAGTGACTTTCCAAAGGAGTAATTACTTATTTCAAATAATTCACATATTTGGTTACAGAGAAGCAATCCAAATTATTCGCTGGCAATACACTTTAAAGTCTATACAAAAATATGAATACACAGCCTGTTGTTATACTATGGAGGGTTAAACAAAATGTGGACTCTGCCTTTAATCTCAAATCAGCTTGTTAAAAAACAGAACCGTTTCAGTTTTCGAGAATTTGGAGTTCATATTTATACAACAATTTTAAATTACACATATTTATTAAATGATATACTCCCCTATCCATGTATTTTTTTTATTGTATAATATCATTTTTCTAATCATCATAATAGTACATCAAACACGAAAGGAAAATAATCAACAAAAAACCATTCAATACTCTTTAATCAATCTTCAACGATCTCAATATCACAAACTGTAAAAGCTGGTAGCAAATTGAAAGCACGTCTCAAGGCAGACCTTAACAGGTGCCGGAGCTCTCATTGGCTGTTGGCTGCGTCACTCAGACCTGGCCCCGCCTCTTCCCCCGCCCCCGTCACACGGACCAGGCTCGGTTGAGTCGTCGGGTTGAGGAGGAGTGCGGTTGGAGTGCGTGAGAGAGGGTCGCGGCCGCGATGATCTGACAGATGAAATAACGGAAAAAAAGAAAAAAAGGAAGTGAAGGCGGTCGTCCTCCCACACGAGACAATGTTCCCCAAAGGCAAAGGCACCCCGGTGCCGTCGGACGGCCAAGCGCGAGAGAAGTAAGCCGAGAAACGTTTAATATTCTGTATTTTCTTCCGTGCCTCGTAAGTTGCTCCCTACTCGCTCTCTGTTGTTCGCTGGACGGGTTTACCGAGGGAGGATTTCCTCCTCCGGACCAGCGGATTGAATGAACCGCCTCGTCGGCTCGCCATTCTCCCCCCCAACACCCCCCCCCCCCCCTCCCAAATGAGCCGTGTTTCACATCTCCCCGCTGGCTCCCTTTTCACACCTCAACCGAACGATTCCGAGTGGACTTCTGTGGCGTTTTAAACGGCGGTTTTACACGCTTATTTTCGCGGTTCTTCGGTCGCGCGGCTCGTAATGGAGGATAAAAACAATAACATGGCCCTTCTACGCGGTACATTGTTTTCACTGTTCACAGGCTCCCTTTTTTTGTATTTCCCTCAGCCCCATCAGTGCCACCAGGGTACTGTACCCGAGCTAATACCCTGCAGACTGTCTTTATTTTATTTTTATTTTTTTTACGTTTCACAACACGATGTTTAAATGACTCAGCGTGTTTTTTTTTATCACTTTCTTTTTACCTCCTCTTCGTAGTGAGTCCTCCCCACGTTTCGCCTTTGGTCACACGGCCCCTCGTTGCATTTCTTGGCTGTTGGCAGCCATTGTTCAGCGGCCCTGTGCCCGACTCCAGTCACTCACTGTGGCCGTTGAAGAAGATTTAATCTGCTGGTTGACGTTTATTTTTAACCATTTGGTGGCTCTTCGTAAAATGTGAAACCTAACAATAGTTTGTTTTTGTTTTTTTGTCCCCCCCCCCCCCTCCCACACACAGGTTGGCTTTGTACGTCTACGAGTATTTGTTGCACATCGGAGCACAGAAGTCTGCACAGACCTTTTTATCAGAGGTATGTGCACATTTTAGGGGAAAGTAGAACCACCCTGTAATGCCCCTTCTCTATATTTAAACACATCTATCTTAAATGTTTTGCAGTCCATTTCAAAAATCACACCCGTGGGTAATTATTGAACGCCCCCTTTTACTAGATCCGATGGGAGAAGAACATAACGCTCGGAGAACCCCCTGGATTCCTACATTCTTGGTGGTGGTAAGTGAAAAATGTTCTGTCTCCCTGTTTAACACGTCCAGGTTTTTCTGTTGTTGTTTGCTTCATGACCTGTCTTGTCCACAGTGTATTCTGGGACTTGTATTGTGCTGCACCAGAGAGGAGAGAGACATGTGACCACTCCAGCGAAGCGAAAGCCTTCCATGATTACGTGAGTAGTTCTTGCATGGAGACTGTTGCACTGATGAAGAAGACAACAAATCGTCTCTCGACGCTCACATGGAGTGTAAATAAGGTGCCACTGACCTGGGATTTCTGCAATGAGTCAGATTTTTTCCCCCGTGGGAGCTATCATAGCAAAGTGCTCGCAATCTCTGTTTGTGAACACTCCAGGCCTGACCGAATCTCCCACATTCCCCTTCAAGACCGATGCAGCTTCAGGTTATTGCGGTTCCTTTTAGCTCGAATAATGATCACGATTTACGCAAATGTCTGTCTGATTTTAGTCTTGGAGGTGTGCCTCATTTCTATGTTGCCCACTGCACATTTGGAGCTGTATTGAACCACCTAATGCAATTTAGGATAGCGTGTCTTTTTTTTTTTCTTCTTAATTTTACGATCGCCATCTTGCCCCCATTGGGTGGGTCGAATGATGCGTCCAACAGGGGAGCTTTGCTTCATAGGGCTTTCCGGGGAGAATGCTGCCTAATGTCAGCATGTCCCTGAGGAGGACCTTGTCGAGCGCCCCCCCCCCCCCTTATCTGTGCCACGCTCAAAGCTCCCTGCCTCAGCTGTGAAGACCAGAAAGACATGTCTGTGTGTTCCGCACAACTTCTGAGAGCTTTGTAAACACACATGGTTCCCTTCCACCATGAACCCCCCCCCCCCCCCCCCCCCCAAAAAAAAAAACAGTTGTCACATTTTCCAGTCATTGACAAAAACAAAAAACAAATGATGCTAAGAGGAAAATGTCCTGGAAAGTTTTTATCTGAGAATAAATAGGGGCTCCCAAAACGGAAAGAAATTGACGTCTGAAAGGGCTAAGTTACGTAATATGGATCATATTAACGTTCAGGGGGTAGTTTATTTAAGAAGAGGCTCTTGTTGGTTTGGTGAAAACACTGTAAACAAAAGCCACGTCCAGGTGGGGTGACATTACATAATGTTGCTGTCTTACCAACTTGTTTTTAAACGGTTCAAAAAATGTTATATTGGTTAGCATGTAGCAATGGCTTTAAAAGCTCTTTGAGTATTGTTGAGTTAGTAAATGCTGACTTGGAACCCAATCATTTATGAGCCACACGGCCCTCTACCTGTCCGTGACACAAGCTGGATCCTCACTAAAAATGAGTGGGAAACCTGACACGGCTTGTTTGCTACGTTGATATGTGATGTATAGGTGTTTTGCATCTTTATAGTCATAACCTTTTAGAGAAAACAGCGCAGTGTTCTCAGCTTTGAGGCAGCATTAGAAAAAGCCTCTTTAGGACCAAAGAGCGCAAACTGCTGGCTAGGCGCTGCTGCTGTTCCCATGTTGTGTTTTATCAGGTAATCTTCATAAATTAGATTAAAAAAGGGGGCTTTCGCTGTGTCAGCATGGCCAAGGAAATGGCCATTAGAAGTTGAGCAGTCCTCTCAGAATGACTGACGCACAGCTCAGTTCGTAGGGACGGTTGACAATGTATCAAGACAGGAAGGGGTTAAAACGGAGATGTTGGTCCTGCTCTGGCAGATAGGGTTGTCAGGGCAACGGGCCTCCTGATCTGGCAGGTGACCTGGGAGCAGGAGAGAGCCTACAGAGTCGCTCTGCCCTTTTCAATAAACACATTCCTTATTATTCTAACACATGCAGGTGGAGGGGGTTGCATTTTGTTTTGAAACCAACATTATTTGTTAACAAGCCTACTTTCTTATAATTGATTGCTATATCTTCCCAGGTCTTATGGTCTCTCATCGCAGGGATGTAAAATGTCACAGAACAACTGCAGACGGGTTCTGAAAAATTCAACAGCACACAGTAAAATGTCAGGTTGCAGCTGGTGATTCCACAGAGGCAATTTTCATAACATGGAAAACATTAAGCAAATGACGGAATAGTGGATCGTCAGTCGGCGGCGAGCTGCTGTGGCAGAGAGCCTCGGGAGTTTGTGTGCGGTTGACTGTCCCCGACATCTTGTGGTTGCCATTTGCTCCAATTTTCGTTTCTTCATGTGTTCATTTGTGGATGTTGGGAGTCAATCGTGTGTGTGTGTGTGTGTGTGTGTGTTTGTGTGGACAGTACTGGTTCTTGGACCCTGTGCCTTTGTCTAGGTGTGGGGGAGGTGATGGCCGTGCTGTTAGCCAGCAGGGCTCGTAAAAACCCTTGCGTATTCACACTGGGCCTGACTGACGCTCCCCAGGGGGCCCCGTCGCCATGGCGTCCGCGGCTGATTGATGGCTGTCATGCGGCTGAGGGGCAGATTGGAGGGGGTAGGGTGGGAAGGGGAGTGGCACTGTGGCATATACCCAGCATCCACCTTCTCGAAGGAGCTGAGGGAGTCAACAACAACAACAACAAGAGGTGGAGGACGAGGGAGGATCAGGGAGGGAGATGAGAAGTGGGAGGAAGTAGCCAGAGGAAGAGCATCCAGTCAGGATTCATGGGGTGTTTTACAATGTTGATTGATGGTTAAACATTTACAAGCTAAACATAAGGGCTGGTTTCTTTTGAGCGCCGGCTCCAGTGGAAGAAGTGACGCTGTTAAGAGCATGCAAGGTCAAAAGGTGACATTTGGGTGGTCTGTGCAGTGACCAAAATCACTTCTTCATCATCCCCTTTTTAAATCGAACGGGTTCTTTATTTTGTGTCTCTCAGTTTACCATTGTGTGCTTTTTTCTTTTTTTTTGTTCTGTCAACCTTGTGGTCATCCTC